CCCCACCCTGTCGGCGGTCAGGGATCAGAAGCAACTTAGCTGGCTCCCAAGGTGTCCAACCATGGCTTGGGCCACGTTGGGTCTGAGTTGTGGAGCTCAGGCTCCAGAATGTGTTACCTGCCCTCACAGTTTCCCCTCGTGCCCACTCAGCTGTCTGCCATCAGGCCCTGCCCATAGCAGGCAGAGGCCAGCCCCTGTGTCTTCTCCTGCCCAACCCCTCAGATCTGAGCACAGGAGGGAGCATGCTGGTAAGGGACAGCCCCCTTAGCTCCTGCCCAAACTCCCAATGGAAACCAAGCTAAGCCAAGAGTTTGGAAGGCCCCAGCTCAGGGCCATCTCAGCCAGTTCAGCTGCGTGCTGCCTCAAAGCTTGCACAGCTCTCGCGAGGCCACCCTCCAGAGAGCTGTAGGCCAGGCGTGCACTCACTCAGATGGGAGCTGGCTGCTGGCTGGCGAGGTGCCGTAGTGGGTGGGCCCGTCTCCTTCTCCCCAGAACTCCCCATCCCTAGCCCGCCAGGAACACGGAGTCCCTTCAGATTGAGAGCCCTGAAGAACTCTCCTACTCACTGTCCCTTGGCACGAGCCTCTGTCTCCCCCAGGTGGCGAAACAGCAGAAAGAATCCGAGTCCACCCAGAAGGCAGAGAAGGAGGTGACGCGCATGGTGGTGGTGATGATCCTGGCGTACTGCCTCTGCTGGGGGCCCTACACTTTCTTTGCATGCTTCGCTGCTGCCCACCCTGGCTATGCCTTCCACCCTCTGGTGGCCGCACTGCCAGCCTACTTTGCCAAAAGTGCCACTATCTACAACCCCATTATCTATGTCTTTATGAACCGGCAGGTAAGTCACACCATCCACACAGCAAACTAGAAATAGACCATGGAAGAGCCCCATGATGGCTCCCACCTGGAATAGTATCTGGTCTCCGGAACAATGACCGGAGAAGGTTCAGCACGTGACCCCAACCCCAGGCAGCCCTCCTTCTGGATCCTTTTATGGTCTGTCTCTGCCTGAAGGTGGGCATTTCCTGCAGGGCCTGTGCACTGCAGCGCTCTTCCCTTCTGTTGGCCTCAGGGCTAGCCTAGATCTTGAACACTGGAGGACTGCCTGACATGGCTACATTTCCCCCAGGTGTGCATTTCCTGTCAGTATTGGCACAACTCTTCTCTCAACCTTCATCTTTCCATCTTCAAACTCTAATTCTGACCAGGACATTAAAGAGGCTCTTCTTGGCTGCACTGACCTATGGCTTTATAGGTTAGTTTAGGGTGGACACACTGTGGTCCCACCCAAAGTCTCCCTAGACGGCAGCCAGCATGGACTGGCACACTGGGCCTCCACAGCAAACTGCCCATGACTCCTAGACTTCTTGATAGATACGGGTGACTATTGAGGTTCATCATCTTTCAAATGCAATTTGCCTTATTCTTCCTTGAATCCGTCACATCCACTTCATTAGGGCGCACCTATGATGTGACTTGGTGACCAGAGCCTACTCCTTCCAACTGGTTTTTCTCTGCTCGTCCATTTCACAGTTGCTCCATGGCTGTGCCCCCTCCTGCCTGGCCTTGAGTTCCTTAAGCATGCATTCTTTTGGTAATGTTTAAATATTCAGTAGCCCGGCCAGCATGGGCTACTGAATATTTAAACATTACCAAAGGAATGCATGCTTAAGGAACCAGGAGGTCACACTTCGATTCCCGGTCACGATCCCCAATGTGGGGGCATGCAGGAGGCAGCCGATTGATGATTCTCATCATTGATGTTTCTCTCTATCTCTCCTCCCTTCCTCTCTGAAATCATAAAATGTTTTAAAATAAATAAATAAATATTCAGTAGGACCACAATTGATTCCCTGGGGTTCCATTCCTCGCACCTCAATACCCAGAGTACAGTTCAATCCCAGATCCCTGTTTTCTGTCTTTCCTGCGGGTCTCTTTTTAGGCCTGGCTTTTGTTAGTGGAATTTTAGGCTAACTTGACAAGTACTGTCTTTGCTTGAGTCTTTCCATCCCCGCCCCCCGGCCCCCAGACAGATGTCGCACTTCTGGACCTCTCCAGGCTTTCAAACTTTCTTTCACCTTTTCACACTGTTACCCATTCCTACTGCATTCTGAGAGAACTTTCTGGGATGGAACTCCATGAGGACATCCCTGATGAAACCCTTAGGACACAGTCTGGCACAGAATGGGTGCTCAGTAGGTAGATGTTAAATGAATGTATTGGATAAATTCTTAGCCTCATCTGGCAGCTCTTTAGCTGAGTTGATTCTGCTGTTCAGCCCATTTCTTATGTTATCAATGTCAACAATTATGTTATTCATTTTTGAGAGTTCTAATGTTGGAGGGAGCTGGATGTAATCAAGAATATCTTAGACATTGTGAAGAAAATGAAATGACAGCCACAGGCTGGAAGAAAAGATTACATATTTAACAAGGGACTTGTTTGTAGACGACAACAAAAAATCTTACCAGTCATCCCTGCAGTGTGGCTCAGTTGGTTGAGTGCTGTCCCATGCACCAAAAGGTCGCAGGTTCGATTCAGGTCAAGGGCACATGCTTGGGTTGCAGGCTTGATCCTTAGTAGGGGGCATGCAGGAGGCAGCCGATCAATGATTCTCTTCTCTCATTGATGTTTCTCTCTCTCCCTCTCTGTTCTTCTCTGAGATCAATAACATTTTATTTTTTAAAAAAATAGGCTTGGAATATATAGGAAATGCATCTGATCTGTGTTCTCAAAGCATTTTGGTTAGCACAGTGATGATATGAGATATAATCCGAGAAATACATACGGCCCAGATCTCTTTAAGGATCAAGCAGCAAAGAGCAGGGCCTCCCTGGTGCTGGAAGACTCTCTTGGCTAAAGAGACGAGGTGGTGGCTACACTGTTGTTTACCTAGTCCTCACCCGGCCTCAAAATTGATGGAATAGAACCCAGCCGCATGGCTCAGTGGTTGAGCATCATCAACCTATCAACCTATGAACCAAGAGGTCGCAGTTCAATTCCCAGTCAGGGCACATGCCCGGGCTGGGGGCTTGATCCCCAGTGTGGGGTGTGCAGGAGGCAGCCGATCAATGATTCTCTCTCATCATTGATGTTTCTCTCTCTCCCTCTCCCTTCCTCTCTGAAATCAATAAAAATATATTTTTAAATCGATGGAATAGAAACAAGATGACAATCACATTCCCTTTCACTAAAATGCCTCTTACCAGACATTCTGGAGATAGGTCACTCTATCTATGCATGGGCCCCTTAGCTGGGATCATCTTTGGTCACCGCATGAGTTCCCTGGGGTGCCGTAATGAACTACCACAGATTGGGTGGCTCTAAGTAACAGAAACATATGGTCTCCTAGTTCTGGAGGCCAGAAGTCTGAGATCAAGATGTCAGCAGGGCTAGCTTCTTCTAAGGGCTCTGGAGGGAAATCTGTTCTGAATCTCTCTTCTACCTTCTGGTGAGTACTTGCTATTCTTTGGTTTGTAGACAAGTTGCCCTGATCTCTGCCTTCACCTTCACATGGCCGTCTTCCCTCTATGCCTGTATGTTTGTGTCCAAATTCCCTTCTACTTATAAGGACACTAGTCATTGCATTAGGGCCAACTCTGTTCCAGCTTGCCCTCCTGGTAATGTATATTTTTTTTAAGAATATATATTTTATTTTTTTAAAAATCCTATATAATAAAAGGGTAATATGCAAATTGTCCCCTCGGGAGTTCGACTGCCCGGGAGTTTGACCGCTCGCTATGATGTGCGCTGACCACCAGGGGGCGGCACTGAACGAAGGAAGGCCCCAGCCGGTGGTCGGCAGCCAGCAGCCAGGAGAAGGAAGGCCCTGATCACAGGCCAGGCCTAGGGACCCTACCCATTTTGTGGACTGGGCCTCTAGTAGAATATATATTTTTATTGATTTTTAGAGAGAGAGGAAGGGAGAGGGAGATAGAAACATCAATGAGAGAGGAAGTCATCGACTGGCTGCCTCCTGCACAGCCCCCACTGGGGATCGAGCCTACAACCCGGGCATGTGCCCTGACTGGGAATCAAACCAGCTACCTCTTGGTTCCTGGGTCGGCACTCAACCACTGAGCCACACCAGCCTGGCTTAATGTATATCTTAATCATATCTGTAAAGACTATTTCCAAATAATGTCACATTCACAGACCCCAAGCATTAGGACTTAAACATACCTTTTGGGGGGCCACAATGTGACCCAAATAGTCACCATCAGCTGCTAAATTAGATGACTTCGTTGACCGGATAGTCAGAAATAGACCATCCCCACATGCGAGGACCCACCCGAGTCTTCCTCCATTCACTCTGTAGGATTGTGAATGGCAGGAGAGAAGGTTTTGAGTCATCCAGGTGACACTTAGTGAATACCTTCCTCCGAATGCCCTCAGCATCACCTTTAGCATAGCGCACTGACCCTTCCTGCTCTGCTGAATAACCCTTTCTGTCCTGCCAGTTTCGAAACTGCATCTTGCAGCTTTTTGGGAAGAGAGTGGATGATAGCTCTGAGCTCTCCAGCACTTCCAGGACGGAGGCCTCATCTGTCTCTTCGGTGTCCCCTGCATGAGTCTCTCCCAGCCCCAACAACAAAGAGATCTGCCTCCTACCAGAAAACGTCACCCCTGTCCCACTCACCAGGGCTTTGGCCACTACCGCCACCATCCCTTCTTCTCCATCCCTGTGAAGTAAATGTAGCTTCTCTTTGCCAGTAACAACCAAGTCACAGAGAGGGGCCCCTGGGCCCCAAGTGTTCAGTCACTGGGTCGCTAGAGGGCATGAGGGGTTTACAGAGGAGCACAGCACTGCACTTCTGGAGACTTTAATCTTTTCCAAGGTCTGCAGATGGTAAGGAAGGGTTGTGAGAAAGGGAAATGCGAGCTGGGTGGGCACGCACACACCTCTCACGGGGTTGGTGTGGACAAAATCTGAAAGCCAGATCTGAGGGGTGGCCTCCTGGGGAGGGCTGGCTGGCTGCCCTGACACCTGGAAAAGAGAGGAGCTGGGGGCCCACACAGGCCCGTTAAGGCCCGCCTGGTAGAGGTTTGGCGTCCTTGGAATACAGTCTCCATCTGGAGGCAACCCAGGCCTGCCAGTCCATGGCAGAAATGGCATGCCAATTCTGCCAGGCCAGGGCCCCAATGCCGATCAACACCATCACGCTGCACATGCGCAGGCGCGAATTCAACTGTGTCAAGGGAAAGGTGCACACAGTAGAGATGAAGACCAGGAAGATGGTGGCCAGCGTGAGGAGCAGGTTCAGAAATTGGAACACAAGCTTCTGGGGACAGTTCCTGAGGTTCTCTGTCATATTTGGTTGAGTCACTTGCTGTAGAGTTTCCAGCTTGGCTATACGACTCTTAAAAGTCTCCATGACGTTCTGCAGGTGATAAAAACACAGTGGTCAGAAGGAAGGCACGGTCATTTACCTGAGTGCCTAAGGGTTGCACAGCAAGTGGTGAGCTGAAGATTTCGGAGGGAAGACGAGAGCCTAGAGCAGTGGTCGGCAAACCGCGGCTCGCGAGCCACATGCGGCTCTTTGGCCCCTTGAGTGTGGCTCTTCCACAAAATACCACGTGCGGGCGTGCATGTACAGTGGGATTGAAACTTCGTGGCCCGTGCGCTGAAGTCGGTTTTCGACCTGGGCGAGTCTATTTTGAAGAAGTGGTTCGGAAGTGGGGGTGTCGGTGGGTTGGGCGACGGGAGACGTGGCGCAGGCGGGCTGCGGGATACGCAGCGTAGGTGAGGCGCGTGCGACTCATGCAGGAGTTGAGTGAGCCAGTCAGCAGTCTCATGTGCAGTGGTTAGTGCTAGTCACGTCTGCAAATCGCGCGTGGGTGACAAAAGTACCTACTTGAAGCATAAAGTTACCTGTATTTTTCCAACCAGCTGCAAATCCTACAGGTATTTTTCTCATCAATTTAAGAATTGTAATTATTTTCACTAGAAAGTAAGTTCCAGAAGGATGTCATGTTATCTCCAGCCTTAGACACATAATAGGCATTCCATAAATATATTAGTGTATTGAACTCATGTTGTTAATACTAAGTACTCAATCCATAATTATTAATTAAGTTAATAACAATGTACCTGCCTATATAGTTCAATTTTAAAAAATTTGGCTCTCAAAAGAAATTTCAATCGTTGTACTGTTGATATTTGGCTCTGTTGACTAATGAGTTTGCCGACCACTGGCCTAGAGCAACCTACACGCTGAGGGCCCTGCCCTGGGAGGGTCCATGTCTCCAGTAACAGCGAAGGTCTCATCTGACTTGGCAGTCATCCAGCCTGGTCTGAGACTGAGAGCCTGGCCGTGAGAGAGCTGAGCCAGGTCAGGTGTAAGGTCTGAGGGTGTGGAAGAGAGTGAGGCGATCTGTCACAGGAGAGGGAGACCCGCCACCCACACTTGCCGCTCCAGGGTCAAAAGCAAG